CGAGCTTAATATGGCGGATTGATTCCTGGTAACAAGGTAGGTACCGTCTGCTTTCCCTAATCAGTTATGAATCCTAGATTCTCGTTGTTTAATCTCTTCATTACTAAAATACAAAAAGTAGCTCTGTAGAATTTAAAAATTGAAATATAATCATTTTGCATTGATATATTTATCACCATTGGTGTTATCTTGGTTTATCAGATGAATGCTGGCATATATGTGTACTGGTCACCTGCATCCACATTTTCTTGCACAAGTCTTACGCTCGTACTCCACGATCCAATAACGTGTTTTTTTGCATAATACTAATCAGTTATCGACCAATTATCGATGTATGATTAAACGTCGCATGATTTCTCACGAATCAGTTGTCGATTATTACAAAATAGAAACTGAAATCTTTAGTGCCTTCAGTGAGGTTGTTTGGTGTTCTTCTTCAGACTGGTTTGTGCGAGACCTTATTGACTTATTTTAAGGTAATGATTTATTGTTAATTATGCATTTTGCAATATTTTCTCGTAAATAATTGTAAAAAAATACCAGTTTGAGGTTTTCATATAATTTCTATTTTTTGTAATATTTTTTAGAGTATTATTCAAGTTCCTTTAGTAATCTCAGTGGGATGTATTAAAATGTATATAATTAAGTAGTTAATGAGTATATATTTTAATCTTAAAATTTGGCCTTTCAAATGGCCAGGATTTTAATTTCAAAATTCAAATTATGTGTATCCATATGTATATGTACATAGATAGAGAAGATCCAGTGTTTCACGTACATTACAGAACTTCCAGCGTCCACTTTGGATTAAATGAGCTCCAATTGGACAAGTACGCTTGTCAGAATATGTTAATAATGCTAATTCATAAAATCAAGGATATTTTTCTTCTATGCAAAACAATATATATAATGTTTGTAAACTTCAGTCAACATTTTTGCGGTTTTTATGGTTTCGGAAACCTCAACAATAACTCAAAGTTGAGTAAGAGTTAAAAATTTGCACATCGATCAAATTTGAGTAAGGTTATGCCCTAATTGGCAAAGCATTGCGCGAACTGGCTGTGGCGATGATCGGATGCATCGCGTATTGATGAAAATGCGTTTCCTAATGAGGAACGTTTAAGCGCGTGTGCATGCCTGGTTGTTGTGATAAACAGACAATTGCTCGATGAACTCTATACGCATTTCTTGAAAACAAAAACAATTTTTTTTTTGCCATTATTTCTATTTTGATAATTATTTATTTCTATCTTTATTATGCATTTTTTTTAAAGGCAATAACGATAATAGATAGAAAATGTATGAAACAAATAAGAAATAATGTTCAATAATAATTATTATTGGTATAGTTTGATTAATAAATTGTAGTCAATATGTATTAATAAAATTAAAATATTGTCGCTTTATTGTAAAAAATCATTAAGTAACATTGATTTACATTAAATCATTAAGAACTTTGATGGATTTTCCGTTTATAACATCAGAAAATTATGCACTTTTGCAACTATGTTTGATATAAAAAAGGGGTTGTCTCATTTTAGTGTTCTTACTGTTTTTTTTTCTTCTATCAATAAATAAGGTAGAAATAATCAAAAATGTTGTTAAAAGTACAGTTTTGCAATTAACCAACGAAATCGGATAATAATATACATCTACTAAAAGAAAAAAAAGGGAGATATAGATAGTAATAAATATAATAAACAAAAAATAAATAATATCGTATAGGTTTTCTTTTCTTTAAATAATTGGAACGAGAAAAAAAAGAGAGAAAAAAAAAAGAGAAGTGGCGTAAAGCAGAGAAAGCAACAAACTATGATAGTTTCCACAAATTGAAATAAATTTCTTGATTTAACAAATAAAATAAAATTATGTCTATTATTATAGTATAAAATTGACTTTATGCTACTTTGATAAATTATATATTAAGAATACAAAAATAAGATATAAATAATAAGGAAACAAATGTTAACCTAACGTAACCAGCCCGACATGTAGTTAATAGCAATGATTTTTAGTTTGATAAAATAGAAGTTAATTATTTATTATTATTTAATAAATTTATAAATTAAGTCTCCTATAAAATTAGTCTTTTTAAGAACGTTAAATAGTGGGGGAGTTATAAATAAATATTAGGAAAAGGTTAGATGATTATTGAATATCGAGAGTGCCTTGTATATATGTAATAATGGGAGATAGGACACTAGATAGCTTGGTAAAAAAAATTATTTATTAATAAATCCGGCGTTTCTATTATTGGTTTGAATAATCAAAGTCTTAGTTTAATTAGGTCGTTTATTTACTTGTTAATTGTCTCTTTATTACGCAACATATATTCAAGATTGTACGGAATCGACAGTGCAATATTAAAATAAACCAATGCTAGTGTTTTCGTTCGTTGATATCCAATTATTTTTGCTCTTTAATTTTTAACGTTATCCAATGTACTTTCAAAATTTTCGGTTAACTATTTTTAATGTTCAACTGATTTTTCACCATCCTACATGGACGGTTTTGATCTTTGTCGGGGAGATTAATGCAAGAGTTAAAAGCCCCCCTTTGCACCGAGACACGAACTCGGTATTATTTTATCACATTATCTTCTATCCGGGTTGCCAGGCAACGCGTGGTGCTGTGTACACACGTTAACTCGACATGGCCTCATAAGTCACATTTCTATGACTCTTGACTTTGATATCTCGAACTTTGATTACTTGAAGTACAGATAACTGGAATAAAAATGTCACAGTACTTTTATGTTTGATTAGATGATGTCCGACTGCATTTTGAAAACTGCCTCCATGAAACAATTAGGTATTCACCTTTTCCAATAAGTTTCATTTTTACCGACCAAAACCTTTTTTTTTTTTTAAATGGCAAAATAATTTTTTTTTAAAATAGGTTGGGTGATAAATATTCCGGGCGCAGTCTTTTTTCAAAGACTCCCCAAAGTATTTTTTCGCAAGACGCCAGTCAAAAAAAGAAAAAAAAAACTGGGTGCTGAATATTTATCACCCATGATATGTAGAACAGTCGACTAACTTCCTTCAATAATTTTTTTAAAATAGGTTTTATTCAAAAGATTGTTGATGGAGGACATCAATGTCAATTTAAAGTAGTTAATTATATTCTTTATTAAACTTTTGAAAAATCAAAGTCTGCAACTGCTTCAATTATTTCTATGAAAACGTAAATATTAGAAACATTTAGTTGTTCATTTGATGTAATGAAGATCAGTTCCCATTATATTGGATATTGAACTGTTCTATTAATGTTAAATAGATTTATTGTTTACTGTTTTTCTAAGAAGACCGACTGTATATTTTTTCCTTCTAGAAGAATAAATGCCCTCTTGCTAAGATATATAGGGTAGCGGGCAAAACAAATAGGGCAGCAGAGAGCATAGTATACTTGGATGTCACCTTTGACAGTCTAACTCTATTCCGCCACTGCCAGAAGAATGTTCAGCTGGTGAAGACTAAGTCTTACAGGCTAAAGCATCTGTTGACCTCACCAAATATATCCCTCCGCCTCAAATTATTAATTTATAAAAGGGTTTTAAGACCGGCCCTTCTTCATCGAGCGCCGATGTTATCGAATATGCCTCAACTGCAACTAAGCTCCAGCAGTTTCAGAACGGAGTGATCAGACGTACTGTGAGACACACATCATTACAGAGGACAAAAACAGACCTACTCCACAAGACTTTTGAACTATCGACTGTAACAAACTTTATAACACACCTGCAAGTAAATTTTTTTTTATAGCCTACAATACGCGACTAATCCACATTTTAAGACATTACCTCAGACGGGTCACAGAGGTGGTAAACGCTTACGAAGAGCCTCAGACTTGACTAGACTGAGGTCTACTGATTAACTGGACTTTTTTTTTTTTTACATTCCACCCTACCTTGCCTGATGGGCCATACGGGCGTTTGCAATAGTGGGCTGTTATGCATGACTGCATAACAGCATACTACTGCAAGTGAAACAGTTTAAAATATATTATCTTTGGTGACGTCTTATCAAGGGTGTCCGTCTTCCGGCGGTCTTCTTGGTGGTGGTCCTCTTCTCCGTGCTCCGATGTTGAAGTGGGCTGGACCCACTGCCTCCTTCCAGTCATAAATGAATTTCTTGAACTGAGGGAAGTTCTCCTTACTTACCAACTGAGGAAGTTCATCCTCTGTTAGGGCGTAAATTCCTGCGGTTCTCATCATCGTTGCCCTTATTCCTTCAAATGCAGTGCAGGCCGTGACCACGTGCTCGACAGTCTCCAGAACTCCACAAGTGGGGCATCGGGGATCTATGTCCTGGCCAAAACCATGTAGCTTAGCTCGAAAACCCCCATACCCCGTGAGGAACTGTGAAATCCAATAGTCCGGGAGGATCCATTGCTGACTAACTGGACTGACACAAGACAGTCCCATCACAGTCTAGTAAGTCCCATCGCTAGGCTAACGATTCAGCATGTAACAATTTTTAAAACCTAAAACTCCTCATAACTCCCTTAAAATGCTTGCGACCATTGCAGTACAAAAGGGACTCCATCTTGTAAAGAAACATTTGAAAATCTCAACCACTGATCTTTGGGGATAAGAAAAAAAAAAAAATAAAATGTTTACTATCTAAAATTTATTTAATCTGTTCTCCTAACACCTTGAAAATCACAGTTATAAAATAAAATATAAACCTTTTTTTTAAACAAAAGTTTGTTTGGGACCCTGGGCAATAAGAAAAAAAATGTTAATGAAGATTATGCGAACAGTTTTTGTAACGGACTTGGCACCCAAAGCGATAAGAGAAGTCATTTGATTAAAAAAATATTTTTTTTTAAGGCGATTATTATTATTATTGATATATTGCCTCGTCTAAGCCATTTTAATAACCGTAGTGTTATTTTTCCATGTTTTCGACCTCATGAATGATTTTCATTGATTAATTGTTTTAGGTAGTATGGTGACTATTCACTTAAATATTCACGGAATGTACTACAAACAGAAAATGTTATATTATCCTTCCTGTTCTCTTAGGAAACAATCAAGAAAACAAAATGCTCCGATTTTACACTTACATCGCCGCTGTGTAAGGTCAAGAAGCTCCCCCCCACTCAATTGACACAAAACTCCGGCGTTTATTCTCTGACGTATTACTTATGTTGCGACTGCTGTAGTGGGCCATTTGTGTTTAATGTGAGTTGTGTTTAATATTAGTGTACTGTACCTAATTGTGTTTGTACGAGGGGCGATTGTACGTACGGACGTCAGTGGGGTCAAGTTATCCTAACCTCTATTTAATGAATTGATTAGCATTGGTTCCTGTGTCATCACATCCGTCGGCCGTCATACCTGTGATCCTTTCGCGAAATCGATTGAATGCTTTATGTGTTGATGTTATTGATTTCTGCCGTCGCTATTATCGTTTATAATAAATTCAACAAGACAAGTGAGTAAGATGCATTGATTGTCTAATTACTTTTTTAATATCTCCATTATAAGTTTTATTACTATCATCGTCAACGGTAAAACTTACATTATATTACGGCTGAGATTTATTGTTAAACTGTTCAACAGAAAGAAAAAATTCCGAACAGATTGTCTGAATTGCTCTTAATATCTTGTGATTTTGATTAGATTTGTCATGCATTGTAAAACAATAATTCTGAGTTCAGTTCAATATCGATGAAAAAAGAGAGGGAATTATTAACAGATTTTAGTTTTATTATTTTTTTTTTTTTTTTTGACAATTCTCCTTTCCGTTACTTTTTATTTGGTAGAACGGTGATTATTGATAATCTTTATTCAAGTCTCAGAAATCATATATTACTATCTAAACATTATTAATTGAAAATGAATCTAGTGGATTTGTGGATTTTTACATTAATAAAACCCATGTTTTGTTTATTATTATTGTTTTTAATCAATTAATTCATGAAACTAGTTTGGTACTATTCCTTGATTTTGAAATATTTTAAAAGTTTTAGTTTGATAGCGACACAAGTTTTTCGGCCGCCATTTCGGCAAACGAAAAGCCGGATGGTCATGAAATGTATATTTAAACAGTTATGAATTTGATCTTAACGTAATATCAAAATTTCGAAGCAATCGGTGAAGGACTTTCGGAGGCTGCCGGCTTTGAACAGACTAACATTTATATTTTTATTAATATAAACTTTTTCCATTTTTTTTTCATTGATAACACTAAAGCTTGTCAATAAATACTAAAAAAAAAAAAAAGAATAATTGGTTCAGATCATAAGAGAAAAAGGAAGGCTTAACTGTTTTGCCTTTGCCTATTTATATAATGATAAAATGTCACGGGATCATTGCAAAAAAGACTCAAACATTTCCGACTAAAAAATAAATAAATAAAGTGCATTTTTCTGGAAATATGTGCGGTTTGCCTTACTTAATCAGCACATTGGATTACATATCAAGTAATTTTTAGCGACTTACCGATTTGTTATATCATAATTTTTTTTTCAATTTAAAATAGATTTTGTGCAAACTTTCCATTAAATAGAATACAATTTTTGGTTATTGTGTATTTAAAAATAAATAAAATAAAACTATTATTATTTTGCTTTTAAATCTTTAGAATATTAAAATGATTATTGACATAAATGATTTTTATGAATGGAATAGTCGTTATTAAATCACATGGAATAGTAGAATGGAGTATACGTTATTAAATCACATACTCTATTTGTATAGAACAGTGTTCATTATTTATTCTAATACAAATAATCCAGGCAAAACTTTTTACAAGTCATGATCGGTGACATAAAACTTTTAGTATTAGTAGCTGAGGATACTTACCTCATTATAATGAAAAGCATGGTTACTTTTTTAAAATGACGAATATTTTTAATCTGCAAATTATTTTGTATTTATAACTTTATCTTTCTCGCTACCGAATTTAAGAAAGTTCCTTGTTCATGTAGGAAGTGACACATAAAAATTTGTCCTCAAAATCGAAATTTTTCACTCTGGTTTTCTTTTTTAGAGACATTAACGGAGAAATTAGTGTTCATTTGTGTGTTTCAGTTAGTAGTCAAATACATGTGACGGACGGAACACTTATTATCCAGAATACAATCTTGATGATTTTTTCAGGGGTTTTGTGGGATTGGTGTCTAGATGGGCCCCATATTAATTTCGTTACAATTGCTCAAATTTATTTTTCTAAACAAGCCAATATTTCAAAATGGATCGTCCTTTGGATTATATTCTCAAACATGATCATTGACCTTGAAAGATTGGTGGAATTATGCATCCGAAAGAAGTGGTGAGAAAGTTATGCTGTTTCTATTTGGCATATGTTTTTTTCAAAATTTAAATCGTCAAACATTTTGAAATTTCATGAAGCTTGTTCTGAAATCATGTTAGGCTTTTCTAAGTTTGAGACTCTTGAAAAATCCACTAATTAGCGCCGTTCATTATGGACAGTTGTTAAACATAAAACTAAATTTACGACTTGGACGACTATACTGCTATCTCAATAAGTTATGGCAATTAGATAGTAGTGTGTTTTATTTATACAACTTGTACATTCTGAATTCCTTTTAACAATAAGGGTTAATGAACTTGAGTGGGGTCTCATTTAGGGTGAATAATTATGTATGTATGTCTGTGTAATAGAATAGTATCAATTTATTGTTTTAAAACTTAAGATTGTTTTAATTAAAATATTATATAAATGAAACTATTAACAGACGTGTATTAAGAAAATATTTTTTTAAACCTATTTATGGAAATTTACTATTATTAACTAAAAATAAAACAAGCATACGTGAATTGGTAATATAACTTGTACATACGTAAAGGGAAACTTTTGGTAGGACTCCAATTATAGTTCTATTTTAGGGATCTCTAGGCCATCTTCTTTTCAGACACCTAAGATGGGTAGCAGTGATCGAAGAGGAAGCAATGTTGGAAACGAGAGTATTCGGATGGTTCTAAAGTTTATTATGGAAGGATTGGGAATTTGGATTGAGCCAAATCGTAAACATGGAACATTCATTTCGTTGGGGATAATTTTATTTGTGACAAAGTAAAGAGCATTGTGGATTTTACGAACATTTTTGGATTTTAAGTATTGTATATGAGAGGAAATTATTGGATTAGTGGCCCCCAAAGATCAACCTCTTGAGTCCAAATATGCCTAATAATAGTCAAATAAATGAGTCTTTTATCGTTAATTGAGCATTTAATATGACAGAATGACTAACTCCAATTTCAACATTTATTATTTTATTAATTTTAGTGCTATTTATAGTAGGAAAATTTGTACCTTTATTCACTGTTCTATTTTTCAACACTGCAATCACCTGCTCTAGAATTAACTCACCCACTGGCTGTACAGATATTATGAATTTTCCAACTAGAAATATCATTTAAATGGGTTAGCTCGAAAATGTTGAAGTTGGAGTTAGTCATTCTGTCAATTAAATGTTTAGAACGGTTTTCTTGTATGTATTGAAGTGACCAAATAAAAATATTGAATTATGTTTTTTAATCTTCTATCAGAGATTGGATTTATTATATTTTCCGGTATTTTACCACGTTTTATTTAATTTTTATATATAATAGTTATTGGTTTCATATATATATACTCATATATGATCAGGCGTCTAATTAAACTATAGACTATTAGTCAATTTATGTTGACTTTCAAATTCTAGGAATAAAGTTCACCGATAGTATCGAATTAGAACGATTTTGAAATTTATAAGTACTAACGCGTTACGATAAGAATTGATAAAATGCTAAAAAAAACATGCCATGATCAGCTGATAACTTTTTCCTGTTTATCGGATAATTATTTTCATTTTGAAATACATCCGATAACCTTGATGATAATTTTAAATTTATCTCTGCATTTATATATTATTTTTAATTAGGAATATGTACTTTGTGGATTTAATAATTTATGTTTTTAGTATAAATAAAACGCTATTCTATTAATTATTTCGCATATTCTTAATCTAATGAAGCGGTAGGATATTTTATTAGTCCTTGTTTTTATTACTTTCACTATTTATCTATGAAATATAAACTTAGGGAAAGTATTGCGATGGTGAAAATTTTTGGAACCCATATTTTTAATGGAATTACACGTTTTGAGGAAGTACCCCTAATTACCCCTAAATCCATATAACCAAGTTTCGCAAAATGTATCAAGTAATAAGATAGTAAAATTATATATTTAAGGCAGGTAGAAGTTTGAGATGTTATACCAACTTTTTTGCCGAAATCGACCGGAATCTGAAACCTGTACCACTACAATCCAAGAAGGGTCTTGGGATCAGTTCTTGTAAGGAAGTACTTTTTTTTTTGTCAACGGTTGTGTAAGAAGGTGATTTGACCGAGATCACGCTCAACCGTTAGTTTTCCCCCTTAATAAAATATTTAATTAAGAGTATCCACTTTATAGAGGCTATTTGTGCCCCAGAAGGGTCCCCCGATCCCAGTGTCGGTGCACGGCCGACGGAACAGAATAAATAATTTATCTGTCATCAGGCGGCTTCAAACCTGGTTACTTGAGCATTGGTTGGCAGCGCCTTACCACTGATCTGATATTTCAAGATTAGGATGTAGTTTTTACGTATTTTTGTATATTTTAGTAGCATGTTTGGTAAACAATAACGTAAAATTCACTTTCACTTACCTATATATATATTTTTTTTTCTTCTTTTCTCTTCCATCTTGCTTTTTCGGCTATACGTTTTTTTCAGCCTTTTTGGCTATACGTTTTTTTAAGCCTTTTCGGCTATAAGATGCAGGGGAGAGGGCGGAGGTTTAATACAACAGTTAAATGCTACGATCCGGGACTCGAACTTTAATCTTCAGGTTTGTCAGGCAACACGTTTATTGCAAGCGCATTAGTCCAATCGCGCATTGGTGGGACGGAAATAATGAATAGAAATGAAAATATTCCTCACAAAATGGTACATAAAACGTGTGTTAATTTATGTATAGTAATTAATAACCAAATAATTTTCAGACATTAGCTTTCAAAGGCCTTATTACAGAAATTTTTAGCAAATTACTTCAAAATGTTCTCAACTTCGAAAGCCGTTTACTCGAAATCTCGAAGCAACATTTTATGCCAAATGTGGAGGTGGGAGCGTTTTTCGCGAATGAGGGATGTTTCATCCACTTAGCAGGTAGGAAGTCTTTTAGTTCTTATTCCTGACCATAAAAAAAAAAAAAAAATCCTGTAAAAGGCAACACTTTATAAATTATTTCCCTCAAATGCCCCATTTTTTTTTTGTCTGAGGTCGTGTGACTATTCAAACTGTTCTCAACTTCGAAAGCCGTTTACTCGAAATCGGTAAATACTAGCAAACTATTATTAGGACACTTTTTATGTAGAATATTATGAGGAATGTTTTAATTCTTATTCATTATTTCCGCCTGATTAATGGATCCGAAGTTAAATGA